GTGGGTCACGCAATGCAAATAGTGCAAAGCAAATGCAGTAGGGCAATAGCACGACCGGTCCTTATCTTTGAGGTTCACAATGCCGACGTACCGTATCAGACTGCTAGCTTACTCCGAACTGTTCCCATCGATAGGCGCAAGCTTTCAGCCCAGAGAACTTGCAGCTCTACATCGCGTATGCGGTCGAGGCCAGAGCCGCTCCCGTCGCCCCGGTGTCGTATTTGTGGCCGCCGCCGGCGCTATCTGTCGCGGCGCGACGCCGCACGGTCTGCACGCCGAGAGCGGGACTGTGCGGCGGCGAGCGAGCCGCAGCCGCCGGCGCTCCACGCCGAGAGCGGGGCTGTACGGCGGCGAGGCAGCCGCAGCCGCCGGCGCTCCACGCCGAGAGCGGGACTGTGGAGCGGTGCGGCGAAGGGCAGGAGGACTCGGCAGAGCCGCCCGCCGGCGCTTCCAAAGCCGAGAGCGGGACTGTGCGGCGGCGAGGCAGCCGCAGCCGCCGGCGCTCCACGCCGAGAGCGGGACTGTGCGGCGGTGAGGCAGCCGCAGCCGCCGGCGCTCCACGCCGAGAGCGGGACTGTACGGCGACGAGCGAGCCGCAGCCGCCGGCGCTCCACGCCGAGAGCGGGACTGTACGGCGGCGAAGCAGCCGCAGCCGCCGGCGCTCCACGCCGAGAGCGGGACTGTGCGGCGGCGAGCGAGCCGCAGCCGCCGGTGCGGCGTCAGTCCCCAGGGCGACCGATCTCGCCAGCGACTGCCACTCTCCGGGGAGCCGGTCAGCGTCAACACGACACAGCGCCGCTAACGGACCGGCTGATTGGGAGGCGGTCATCAGCAGCAGCAGAACGGGACGTATTCACGGTCTGAGGGCGGGGATCGGAGCGATCCCAGCACCACGGCGTGGAGCGGGATGCGACGTGGCGGCCCGCCGTTCGGACAGCGTCGAAATCAGAATCAGCACACAACCCAATCATGACACAACCTTGCGCCTCTTCCACGTTGCAGCGCTCCTTTTTTCACGCAGCCTGGCAGCTAGCAAATCAAAGCGTGTGCTCTTTCGAGTTCCACCCTTTGTTGGAACGAGCGCCAGCGGGTGGCGGCACACCAGACGCATTATCGATACTCAGCGGGCCGCCGTCCCGGGCGTCTAAACCCAAAACAAGAATCGTCTACGGCCTGCCCCAGACGCAAAGCCCGGAGTAATCATCACCGCTGTCCCAAGCAGCTATGCCCTGAGCGCTCCTGTGTCATTTATGCCCACATCCAGACTAATCATGTGCATTGTTTGTCCCGGTTACCTCCCTTCAAAATAGTGAGTGCCGCTTGTTCGGGGCACCGCTGTCCATAGAGCCAGCCATATACCGGGAGCTTCGGGAAAGTTTATCCAGAATAATTATGTATCTACTGTCCTCGCGCAGGCGCCCTTTGTATTTAAATGTTCGCATTGGCAAAGTTTCAGTGCGGAAATGGCAGCCGAGCATATACTCCTCATCTCTGCCCATCTCTGAACGCGGAATGCGGGTCCGCTGCCCAAGCGGTCACGCTCATCTGCCACGATCCGCGAAGCGTGCACCTGGAGTGCCAGGCTCTGACGCTCGTGCAGTTTCGCTAAGCCTGTGCTTCCATTTACACCAATGACAATTCACAACCATGAATCTCGACCACGGATTTTTCTTTGCCATTAATAACACGGGGTGGCGTAGCTCAGTTGTTATGGCGTTCGCTCACGAACGCGTGCCAGGCCGTGGGCTCGCTCCCGGCCGCCGACCCGGTGTTTTAATGTGCCCGCTTACTGGGTGAGAGTGATTTTGAGAATGCCGCCCGCCACGGTAGTGACATGCGTTTTGAAATAGCCCGGTTCTTTACCACCGCGTCAGCCAGACATGGACGGCGCCACGCATCTTTGGTTGCGGGGATCAGGGACGGGCCGGCATTGCTGTGTGATTCCCCAGCGTGTCGTTCCGCGAGTATTGCTTACCGGCTGAAGCTTAGCCTCCGTTCGTTTAGTTCCAGCGCTCATAGATCACTAAACTAAACCCGTCGAATTAAGTAACAAGGTTTTGCGGCCCACGTGAAAAACTCAAGCCAAAAAACCATACGTACTGTCAGCCTACGGGCTGCCAGGGGCAAAAGCAACTTTTTTAAATCAAGAGGGGGGGGGGGGGGGGCGGGGAGCGCGCTGAGAACGCATCGTGCCAATGTTTAACTTTCCGTCAGGAACCCTCTACGGTGAAAAAGGAAAAATGCCACGCTACTGGAGGTATCCCAGGTCCCTCCTCCTAGCTGCACCCCTGTGGAGTGCGATTTCTGAGCAGTGAAAGGATAGCACCAATAAGACCGTCCTTGGAGCGGTGCGTATGATCCACACTCCGTACACAGTGTGGCAGAAGGGTAGCACCAATAAGACCGTCCTTGGAGCGGTGCGTATGATCCACGCTCCGTACACAGTGTGGCAGAAGGGTAGCACCAATAGGACCGTCCTTGGAGCGGTGCGTATGATCCACGCTCCGTACACAGTGTGGCAGAAGGGTAGCACCAATAAGACCGTCCTTGGAGCGGTGCGTATGATCCACGCTCCGTACACAGTGTGGCAGAAGGGTAGCACCAATAGGACCGTCCTTGGAGCGGTGCGTATGATCCACGCTCCGTACACAGCGTGGCAGAAGTTCAGTTTAGCTGACAAAACAGCAGCTAAGCGGTCAACAGGAGCGGGACAGAACAGCGTCATGCCGCTCGGATCGGAATAATTGTGCAGAGCGTAAATGATCATGAATAGTCAATATGTTGAACAGTTTAAGACTTGCGAGAAATATAAAATCAAATCAAAGAAACAAACACACATACTTCTGTTTCATTCGCATGAATGAGATATTAGCACGCATGGAAGCGTGATTTGGGACGCATAGATAGTTTGCCACTATTTCAGTGAATTGGAAAGGAATAGTACTAAAATTGATATCGCCATACGCCCCACCCACCGCAGCAACTTGGAAGAACTTCCCATGCCCATGACTGCGATAAGTACGGGCCGTGTTTTGGGTGAGATTTTGTACTTTTACTGGCTTCACCAGGACGCGTGTATGTGTTCGACAATTTTGGGCCTCTCTGAGGCTGTGTGGATAGTGTTTTGAACGTGCAGTGTCCCCACGTTCTGAAAGCTGTGAGGCACGTGTTCCCCACGTCCCCCAGCGCGTCACCGCCCCTGTTAAGAGGATGCATCAACAGCACGCGGGCCTAGTTGAACGTGCTATCACAGTTCCGAAGAGAATGGCCCGTCCGACACCAGCCGTTGTCCGTAACCACGCGTAGCTGTAGAGTTCATGCACATGTAGCTGTAATAAACTGCGTCGGCATTCATACTCACCTCGAATTGCGACAGGATTATCTGTCCCAGCAGTGTGGATATGGAGTAGAAGATGCCGACGTTGATGCCGTACGTGATGACCAGCAACACGAAGCTATAGTTTTTGAATAGCCTGACGATGCTGCCACCGTAACCCTGCGGCTCGGCGTCCTTTAAAGCGGCTTGGCCTGGAGACGGAGGCACGGCCGGCTCGTTCTGGAACACTACCGGTACGTTCATTAGGCTACCTGCTCTCGGTGGGCACACGCCACATGGATGTGCCCCATCAGCGAGCCGTTTTCCACCGCTGTAGGCCACCTGCTCTCGGTGGGCACACACCACATGGATGTGCTCCATCGACGAGTCGTTTGCTACCGCTGTAGGCCACCTGCTCTCGGTGGGCACAGGCCAAATGGGTGTGCTCTATCGACGAGCCGTTTGCCACCGCTGTAGGCCACCTGCTCTCGGTGGGCACACGCCAGATGGATGCATTTCATCGACGAGCCGCTTACCACTACTATTTGGAATGAAGTAGCTTCATAACGTTGTGGGTTCCTTCGACGGACATGGCAAGCGCTTGCGACGGAAGCCTACGTGTATCTTGAAATACTTGATTTCGTGTGAGCTAAAAACTAAATGGTCGTGCCAAGTATCTTGCACCAGTAGTGCTGACAATGTCATAATTGCGTAATCTATGACAATCTTCTAGGTTTGCAGCGTTCGGAGTACGATGGGTCGGTTCGGATCCCTCACAAACGAAATTATTAAGGGGATTATTAGCCTCGTCCGTCGTATGACCGATCACACACTCCAGCCGGCTGTCCTCGGGGACGTCATGGGTGATACGACAGACTAGTAATGATCGCCGCCAGGTGGCCCTGAGCAGGACCCAAATGGTCGAATGGTCTTGATGATAAAACATCTTAAAACACCTTTCAGACGGTCCGCATCTGCGAACGATCAGAATAGCAGCTTGCCGAAACGCTTTGGTGACAACAATGTTCGGTAACAACCCTGAGTGGTTGTGAATAATGTAAATATTGGTGATGGGGTAAACATGTAAGCAGGGCAAGAAGCTCTGCTCACAGAGGAATAGCGATCGCGAACCTCCATTTAGCCACCAGATCCATGCTGCCCGGACAGCCTGTAGGCGATCAACCGGTGATGATTTTACGCAAGACTTCAGGTGAAAGAAGTGAGGGCGAAAACCGCTTCAAGTCCAGAAGGAAAATCCAGTCCAAAATCCAGTCCAGAAAATCAAAATCCAGGAGGAAAAACCAAAAAAGAACACGTTTGCCATCAATTTCGGGCCATTCCCCGCTCACGATATCCCATCGTGCTTAAGTTTTGGACAGGAACAGTGACTGAGACTCGACGACATACGATTGCTCTGATCGCTCACAGACATGTTCCAGATTACGGCAACTCTCTCCCACAATCGGCACCAAAAACTCACCGGACATAAGCTAAAATTCGAGATCACATTGTGACTAAAGCTGTAACAAAGCTGCCTTTCAAAACCGTCTTTTCGCCTTCCCGCCGCCGAAACGACTTTCAGCTGCAGGGACCCTTACAATGAGATGCACTCTGCCCGATTGGCGGAGTAGGATTCGGGGCCGACATCCATCCGCGCGTAACGTCAGCCGTCTCCACCACGTACCGAAAATGATGATGATGAAAAGCACAGTGGTGATGGCCGCCTGGCCAAAGAACATGATGGAGAGGTCGTGGCCGATGTCATCCAGCTTCTCCCGATCGTGCACGATCGCTGGAGGAATCAAGAAGCCGACAGCATTGCCGATCTGGAAAATACGCCGACCTCATGTTGTTACTCAACTTCCTGCTCACACACTGCCCTGGAAATAAATTGAGCATCGCTAACAAACCACTGTAGCCTAACATTCCACCGTTCACAAGTCATGAAAAGGGTCATTACGGGCGCAAAGATACAAGTTCGTTGGAACGTGAGGAGTCCACGCAATGTCCATTGAAAGCGATCAAGAGGCCTCAACGAGTGGCACCGCAACCCGCTTGCTGGCCACGGAAGGCATGTCTCTGCATCCACTTCTCAGCCAGCGTCAGTGAGCTGCCGCCCTCTCGCTCAGACCTGGTTCCCGAAGACGCCGATGGCGCAGGCGGAAGACACTTGGTCCTGGCCGAACCACACGGCGGCCAGCTTGGCCGGGATGCCGAGCACGAAGATCTGCGCCACGGCCGCCACCGTCTGGCCGATGAAGGTGACGTAGAAGCGGTCGGGCGAGAGGCTGCCGGTCTTGATCCAGGCGGCCAGCATGGTGCCGAAGGAGCCCAGCAGAATGGGAATCCTCAGACCCTGCCGCCAGTGCAGGATGCTCCTCAGGCTCAGAGAACGGGCTCACTGCTCGAAATAACACCTCGAGTCCTGCCGCAGCCCGGTAAGTGTAAGGCTAAGCCACCGGTGGGAAGTGTCAATTGACTCCTAGCGCTCTGTTCGCTGGACAGGTGCCTGGCATGCGTCTCGAACAAAGCGCCGACTTTGGTTTGTTTTGATTGTTTTTCAAGGTTACACAAAGGGGAGTACTGCCGAGTTAGAGACATTGCAGTCGTATTGTGCCATTAAGCGTGTAAAACGGGGATTGGATCTGGAGAAGCCCCTAACCTTGGCTGACCTTCAAGGTTCAATTCAACATCGAAAGAAATAGAGCGAGCTGACTCAGAGACATTGCAATGGTACCACAACGAAGATCATAACAAAATCTTACTGATTCTTCAAACTCAAATATGCAATGCACCGAAGTGCAACGAAGGGCAAACATGTACGTGAAACAAGGATACGATAGCACGAAAAGTTACCAGTCAATCAAATCTCAATGCCATTATGATAGAGCGTATTAAAAGCTGCCTGGGGTACTTATGAGGCAGTTCAAAGTCTGCGCTCTACTCTGAAGGTACAGTTCAGCGTCTAGCAGAGGGAACTCAGTGGATGGGAGAGGTACTACCTCGAAACATCGTAACGGTAACGTTCGCCCTCACTTGAACTTTTACATTGTTTTTTCTGACTTGACGCAGACTTAGAGACGGACAAAATCGTCGTCCCTGTGCAACGTCTGTAAATTGCTCACTTTTTGTGTCATATCGCTTTCTTTCATTCAGCCTTTAATTGCACTTTGAGGGTCGAGAAAAGTTTTGAGTTTCCCAAAAACCGATTGAGATGCCACGTATCTAACGGTACCATTACGGAGTTCCAGAGTTGGTAACGTTTTGTGTCGCGGCGTTCGAATTCGCTTAGCGTTAAAACGCACTCCCAAGGATACAGAAAAGATGGTGGGTCGTTCGAGACTTAAGCAGTTTTAGTCACAGCTTTTCTTGCGGTACTATTGGCGTGATTTTATACATTTCGTGTGATATTCGCTTTAGCTGACCTTTCAAGAGAATGTTCCTCATGCAAGATTGCTAGACAAGCATCTGGTGTGAAAGAATAAGCTCATTTACACCCATTGGCATGCCTTTAAGTGTAAAAACTACTCTAAACTTCAAAATTTCACTTTTTAGTAAATTTATTTTTCATTACGTCATTACCTAAATACGTCAAGGAGCGTTTTGATGACATCAAGGCCGTTGCCAGACTGGTTGCATCATAATTGCTACCGCAGCAGACGGGCTAACTCACAGGAAGTATTTCAACATGCTGAGAGGTGGCTTGCAAACTGCTGTGGGTTTTCTGAGCCCGAGTGTCGTTATATGCGCATGTTCGACTCTTTCTCGTGATGTTTTTGTAATAGTTGTCCATCATTTCATAAGTTTAAATTGCATTCACATACTGGGTGACGGCTCTATGTTGAATTATTATATTTCCATTCTCATTTCCGTCAAAACTAGTACTCCTGCCCAAATTCCTGTATTATGTGGCACAAAACGTAAGTTGTGTTCGACATCCGCCGCCTTTATCCTCTTTCTCACTTCATCCTGCATCCTCGCGACGTTTCAATTGTCCGGGGCGTGCGCATGCGCCAGTCACGAGTGGACCGAAATGTTCCCTGATGCGGGCACCCATCCGCGCGCAAGGCACACACCCCGCAGAGGGTCACTCTGCGAGCCAAGTCTCGGCAGATGGGTTCTGAGATGCAAGTGGTCGTGCCTCACCGTGATCCATTCTGCTTTATCCCATAGTCTTAAAGTTTCCATTACCAGCTGACAGGGCTTTAGCCCAAATAAAAAATAACAAATGTGTTCAAAACTTATTAATACACCATTTATCAGTATATATATATATATATATATATATATATATATATATATATATATGACCAGTTATCAATAAATTCGAAATGAGCACCAGAAACCACCCCATGCAGCAAGCCTCAGAATGGTAAAACAGGTTGGTTTTGACCTTGGTCTGACCTTCGCACATTCCGCTAGATCAATGGGATTTGTTTATTAAATTGCTGTTTTGCCTAAGAAAGCATCTCAGAGATGTATGACTTTTTCTAACTCTCAGATTGCGTCAGATTGAGCGATTCTCTAAAAATTGACATCGCTGAATTCATGGCCTGACTTTGACCTACCGATGGTTAGCGACCTTACAGCATGCATCTAATTTTTTATACCAAATGATTCGCTATTCAGTTGTCTACATCCACGAGAAATTTGGCGCGGCTACGCCGCACCGTTCGGAAACCATTCTAGAAAAACCTTCGGGGAAGTCAATTTGACCCCACCCGATCGCATGTTAACCGACATTCAAGACTGCCCGCCAAAAATGTGCCGACGTTTATACAGCCTCGGCCACATCCGTTGGCGGGACAGGCGATGCATATTCTCGCTCGTGGATGAACAGCATGTGCACGGTTGCTGTCGTCAGCTAACCTTCTTATCAATGAGCCAGGTGGCGGGGAAGATAAGCGGTATGTACGCCACCATGTACACGATGGAGAGCCAGTCGATGGCGACCGCCGACACGCCCCAATAGCGGGCCACGATGTTGTTGATGGTGGCGAACTGGATCCACTGGAAGGCGTTGGTCATCGAGTAGAAACAGAAGAGGAAGAGTATGACCCAGCGGCGGCGATACACCCGCCACGGCTGCTGCAGCGGTGTGTCGCCCGACGCCCCCGACGTCGGCGTGCTGGACCGCTTCTCGACCATGCCGGCGACGAGTGCCGAAGCGCGCGAAGAGAAGAAGCCGCGTCCCTCGAAGAGCCGGCGGAGCGACGCCCAGCGGGCGGCGCACGGGAAGACGGGGACCGTGCAGCCACTCTGGTCACCGGGCCTGGAGACACCAGAGTCCGCGCCGAAAGAGAGAAGGAGAGGGGGGGGGGAGCGTTCCGGTTCAGATGCGGCCACACCACGCGTTCTGAAGTGCAGCTTCGCCTCTCACACGTCTGCACTCGAGCAGGGGCGCTGATGCCGGCGTGCACCTTCGCGACGTACGCCCTCCGTCACTGTAGGCCCCGCCGCCTGTTCACGCGCCCCGCACCCTCGGCTCCGACCCTGACACTGTCCCAGCTTGCGGTGCCGGCCGAGCGCCGCGTGAGGCGTGTTTACGCCCGTTGTCGGGGCAGCGAGCGGCGCACGGCGCTGGCCCGGCGCACCCAGCGCGCCGCACGGACGTGCGGCGCTCGCAGGCCGCGGCCGGCAGCTTGACCGACGCGAGGCCGCGGGTCTCGCCCGTGATGGGTCCTGCACCCCCACTTAACGATGGACACGACGTGACACGCCCACGCACCCCACTGTCATGCCCCGCACTCTCTGAACGCCCTCACTCGCACCTGTACCGGGCGGTCCGCTCGCTAGCCAGCGCACGGTTACCTGCTAGCGAGAGGGCAGGGGCGCACTCAGGGCGCGTTGGCGAGGGGGCGGAACGCCTGCGTCTGGCAAGCGGTGACGCCAGGAGCGCAGTTGCGGTTGGTGGCCCTCGTTTCAGTGCCGTCTGCCAGCGGCATGCTGCGCGAGTGTGGCCAACGCCCAACGACGACATCTGCCGTGTGTTCGTGCTAAATGCCACGACGTCAGCCTGCAGGACGCTGTTGACAACCGCAGTAAATCGGCTGATAGCCAGGGTCGGCATGGTTACGGCCACCTGCAAAACAGTGAGAAAGCTTGCCCACGCTGCGCTGGACTGAAGACCGGTGGCGATAACCGATATTTAGCCCCCCACAAGGACCGATGCTGGCTACGCTCTTGCGAACACGTAGTGAGCGCCGCTCACAGGACAAGGTCGTATAAAGCACTCGCGACATAATCGGGTCGACGACTGCCAGCGAGACAGGCTGCTCTCTCCAACAGGTTTTGGGAAGAGAGAGTAGAAGCCAATGAAAGCCTTTAAACCGCATTATGTCAGGGAGAGTCATCCGGAAATTTGGTGATTTTCGGTGTGGACGCCGAGTGGCGGCAGGAGATCGCTATCTTGTGTGAGGCGGCGGCGCTGCTATGCCCCGTCACCCGGCTGTTGGGGCGGGCGTCGCTGCTATGCCCCGTCACCCGGCTGTTGGGGCGGGCGGCACTGCCATGCCCCATCATCCGGCTGTTGGGGTGGGCGGCGCTGCTATGCCCCGTCACCCGGCTGTTGGGGCGGGCGGCGCTGCTATGCCCCGTCACCCGGCTGTTGGGGCGGGCGGCGCCGCTATGCTCCGTCACCCGGCTGTTGGGGCGGGCGTCGCTGCTGTGCCCCGTCACCCGGCTGTTGGGGCGGGCGTCGCTGCTGTGCCCCGTCACCCGGCTGTTGGGGCGGGCGGCGCTGCTATGCCCCGTCACCCGGCTCTTGGGGCGGGCGTCGCTGCTGTGCCCCGTCACCCGGCTTTGGGGCGGGCGGCGCTGCTGTGCCCCGTCACCCGGCTGTTGGGGCGGGCGGCGCTGCTGTGCCCCGTCACCCGGCTGTTGAGGTAAGCGGCGTCACCAGCCACGGGCCACGCGGGCCGTACTAGCAGCGGCGACGATTGCGGCGCGTCGGGTCTGTCGCGGGCCGGGCCGCGGCCCGTCGCCCGGAGACGGGCGGCACCAGGAGCCCACGGGAGCCGCCGGTGAAGAGCGCACCGGCCACGGGGCGTTGTAGGAGGATGTCACGCTCGGTGAGCCGGCTAACTCGGCGTGAAAGGACCTCTGTGGAAGGACCTCGGACCACAACCGCAGTCGGAGGAGGATGCGGAGATGACGGAGAAGAGGGTGCTCCCGAAAGCAGCAGCGGACTCCGCATTGCAGGCTTTAGGCGCGGCGCGGCCTCGACAGTGGGCTGAAAGATTTTGTGGTCAAAAATCGTATCATTGAGTGCATTGCATATTCGAGAGAAATGATGATATGAAATATCACGAAGACATTGTTCCAATTAACCTGCGAAAAGCAAGGGTGTGTCCGTTCTTAATTGCCAGCTTGACAGCTGTTAAGTACGCCGTCCACGTATCACCATCGTCTGAACCGGCTACTGTAACATTACTGATGATGCCTCGGCTAAGCGGAGGCTATTCAGCACCATCAAGTATTCATTCCACACGTTGGAACATAAGCTAAAGCTTTATTCCGTACGATATTACGGTCATCTCCACGCTCGATTCTATCGTAATGAAAAATCTTCCGAACTCGATCGACACTTGCCGATCGCTCCCATCTCAGACGCCAGCGGGCCGGGCCCAGACTAGTGGTCACTCGTGTCCGGCGGCTGTCGGACAGCTGACTGGGACACTGCCGAGAGTGGCGGCGGCGGCGGCGGCGGCGGCGGCCAGCACCATCCGCGCTCTGCTTCCCTGGTCTGCACGTCCGGCTACAGACTCTGCCGAGACGCGGCGGCGGCGTTGTAAGAATGCAGATAACACCGCTTGCGAAAGGTCCCCGTATCCAGACAACGCTTGGACGTGAGCATTTCTGTTCGGTGTAAACGGAAGCCGAAAGAGTTACGACGCCAACTAGAAAACAACAACGAGCGATCACTGAGATTGGTTCTGGCTGGAGAGAAGACAGGGTACGAGTAAAAATAATGGGATGAATGAGCTGTAAGGAAACAAATGGATGAATGGGAATAGGACAATGAGCGTAAATTGGAGCGGCCCATTGGGTGATCGTAACTGAGGCTCGGCAGAAAGAGGTAAGCATACATTTCATTGGCTACCTTTTTCAAATTTTTACACATGCTCGACGGAGCCTGTGTAATTAATCAAGGCTATCTATCGCGGTCGATTAGCCCCACTGCAATGGCTGTACAGTGCTGCGTTGAGTCAGACGAATGATGAAATAGATGCCCTTCAGTCATTGAGCGGATTCGGAACAGATAGATGTGACGCGCGGGGTCAAGCACAATTCATGCCCCGAGTCATTCACCAACGGATGTCCTTTCTTGTCATTGTCAGCATCGGATGACGTAGTCGGCGGCGATGACACCATGACGCCGTCGGCCAAGGCGCTGCGGCGTCAGCGGCCTGTGCGCGAGCTTTGGGACCGTGCCAGCGGCCGCCCCGGGCTTGGCTCCGTCGGCTTCGATCGCTGACGTCACGCCCGAGGTGCGCGCCGGGCGGCGGCGCGCCCCCGGGCCGTGTCCCCAGCCCGCCCACGCCCGCCGAACGCCACCGCGGACGACGTGGGAGGAGCGCGGTCCCGGTAGATGAGGCCGCAGTCGGCGGCGAGTGGATCTGGCTTTTCGCGCGGGGCTCGGACCGGCCAGGTCCGGGAACTCCGGGTTCTGTTTGTGGAAAGCGTTTGCCGCGCGTGGTGACAGCGGGAACTCTGAGAATATGGGAAAAGGGATTTTTATCACATTGATCGCCATGTACCGCCACATGGTTAATGTCCATGCTGCCTGGAGTTGGAGACAGCTTCCTGCCTTCCCCCGCCCCCTCATCTGCCACAGCTGGACGTGCGCTGCGGCCCCCAGTCCTCGCCAGACAGCTCGGCGTGGGGTCGATAATGTCGGCCAAAATTTATAGCCCACCCGTCGCCAGCCGCCAGGCAAAGAATGCGAGAGGTCACGTTAGATCGCGAAGTTTTCTGAGGGAATGGCGTTTCCAGTGACCTATGTTGTTCCTCCTCCCTTTGCCTATCCCGATACGGACAAGGCCGGATACAAAACATGGTTATTACAGCATCAGTACGTTGCCGAGCACAAATCTGTTCCTTGAGAGTGAAAGTGTCAAGGAATCGCGTCTGGTCATGCGAACGACAAGCGAAGTCACTGTGTGAAGCGAAAGACCTTGATTCCCACTTGTATCTATTTGGCACCTCCACTTGGCAAGCTCGTATCCATGGCATTTCACAATGTCAACGTTGTTTTTTATACTGCTATCACTGCCGACAAGGCCAATATTGCCCATGACCCAGCAACGCCTTTGCTCTTTTTCACGGATTTCTAAATTCCTGGTATTGGTTTCTATTTGACAATGGGAGTGATGAGCACCTGAGGTGAGCGGGCATATCATCGTCACCAATTTCAAACACTCCGAAGATTCTGGCTTGGACAAGCCGTCAGAGCTTGCGTAGAGTCCGACGCCACTGCGCCGTGGGTCAGTGGATATAAGAACATTTTGTGAAGAGATGGTTTCAGCAATCGCGACAGAAGTATAGCGGCAGCCACCGCAAACTTCACCAAGCACCTTGAAAAATGTTCCTCTTATGCGCAAATGCGCATGAAACACGCTACGTTGAAGACGATCATGAAGCGTTTGTTCTTCCTGACAGCAAGCACGCTGCCATTCAGTATTGTTGCACGCTTCCCTTGACCGTCGCTAAAAAGTTGACGTCGCAAACCCTGCCACGTGACGTTAAAAGGTACTGCGACCCACGGTGCGCCATCTTTGACATTGCCTTTGAAATCATGCAGAACAATCCTGTTGCTCCAAGAGCACTTTCGCACTTAACTTCATGAATGCAGTCAATTCGAGCAGCAAAGACCGCTAAGCTGGCCACAATCATTCACTCAAATGGGCTAGCACTTACGTGTCCATACCAATAAACCAGGTGAATCATTAGAGAGTGCCGCTGCGCTACGATGGAGCCGCTCGTGAATTACCATGGAAGCGAAACACAAAGCATAAGATAATAATGGTTCGGAATATTTGTCGGTGGTTCGATGTTGACCTGAATTAGGCTAGGAATCACACCCACACCCCACCCACACCCACACACCCACATACACCCCCCCACATACACACCCACACCCCACACCACACCCACAACACCCACCCACCCGCAACACCACACCCACCCACCGAATACCCACCCCCCACACCCACACCACCCACCAACTAACCAACCACCCCCCACCCAACCCCTACACACAACACCCACAAACACCAAACCCCCACACGCACCCACACCCACACCCCACACCACGCACCCACCCACCCACCACACCCACCCACACCACACCCCACAGAGATAGTAGAGAGAGAGAAGAGAGAAGAGAGAGGGAGAGAGAGAGAGGGAGAGAGAGATATATAAGAGAGAGATAGAGAGAGAGAGAGAGAGAGAGAGAGAGAGAGAGAGAGAGAGAGAGAGAGAGAGAGAGAGAGAGAGAGATATATATATATATATATATATATATATATATATATATATATATATATAG